CTACCTCAGAAGATTCTGGATGGGGTTCAGGATTCCACCTATGGTCTTATGTAATGCAGAGGCTCCGCAGGAAGTCTCCTTCTCTGGGCACGTTGTAGCCCCATTTTAGGTATTCCAATCTGTTATAGGCAGAAGACAGACTTAACAAGCTTTCTATGGTGATATTTCTGGCTATTCCTTTCTCTCCCCTACCTTTAATTCTTGAAACATAGATAAAACAAGGGAGGGGGAAAAAAACCCAGCTGCTATCAAGTTAATTACAACTCATGCCAGCCCCCTGTTTGCAGAGTAGATTTGCTCCATAGGTTTTCAAAAAGCAAATCATCAGATCTTCAAGGCTAGAATGATTTTTTTTCTCTTTCAGGAGTTGATTATGAGTTCTTGACTGTGGTATGTTGTATTATTAATTTTTTCTTTGTAGTAATCATCCCGACGTAGGATGTTTCTTGGCCTTATAAAGGGATGTGGTTTCTGATAAAACCAGATTATCACAGTATAATCTGAAACTAATTCAAATATCTATTAGTTGGCTAACATCTTAGTAGTGCTTACCTCTTAAAGGAAATTTTTGTAGAAATTACAAAATAAAGCAACCATATTTATGCAGAATTGTAAATTGGCATAACACACTTTTAAGTATATGTTTGTTTTTTAAAATTAGGGTTGAATGATTTTTTTCTGCCTTTGCTTTGAAGGAAGAAGATGTAAATATAAATGATCTTAAACTGGAAATCCTTTGCAAAGCTCTGCAGAGAGATAAGTAAGTTTTGCTGCTATAGCTCTCATATATGGTTTTGGAAAGGGCCTCTTCATTAGGGGAAGTACTATGTTATATGTCAAATTATTTTTAACCTTCGACTTGTCATGTATTATGTTACAAAAGTTTTAATGATTGCATTAATCATCTTAAATTTTTAATTCAATAATTAAGGACTTCGGACCAGTGCCATATTAAATTAATAATTTTGATTTTAAATTTAGACTCAGTTTGTACAGAAAGACATTCTTTCCTATTTTCACAGAAGTAGAACCAGTTGTACCAAAGAAGACAAGGCTACTTTTTTAAGAATAAAAAATTATTAAAACTTGAGGGTTGGTTCTCTCTCTAAAGCTACTGAATATCTGTTTTTCACAGTCATCTCGCTACAGAGGAGGATTTCCACCTACAAAGGTGGTCATTTAGAGACTGTGGCAAAGAAAGATTAACAGTAATCAGTTGCTTTTTTTTCTCCTGTGGTACCGAGAAGTCCCAGCTATTTTAACTAAAGCATTTTCTTCTTACTCTGATCATTACCAAATAGTTAAAACTGTTTTTAAATTTGGTCTTAGAGGTCACTGATGTAATCTCTGGTACTGGATTTATGAACTTGGCTCTTCCCCCATCCCAGTCATCCAAAAAGTATTTTGTCAGTTTGACTGGGCTCATTGTCCTGTCTTCTGTGTTTAAACATATTTAAAGGTATGTGGGATATATCCATTTATTACTACAAAGCAGTGGTTCAGTGTGTTTGGTAGTAGATCGTCTCAACGAGATAAAGCAACCGCCTCTTTCCATGTGATACCTCTTTTAAGTTCAGGTACTGGTTGCCGTTTTACTGGGCTTTAAAGACAAAGTAACTTAAAATGTATTGTAGCTGTTGCCTAAGCTATATAAAAGAGCATACTTTGGGGTCCATACTAGGTTTGTTACATATTTACAGAATTTTCTTGGGGAAGATACCCTCACTACATAGTTTTGGATATCAGGACATGGAGCTTATATGTTGGATGAGGAGCCCAGTGCAGCACCTTATGTATTAGAGCCTAGAAGTCTATCTCCAACATGTAAAGCTCCCTGTGTAAGTGATCTAAAACAAAAAGTCAGATTCTCTACCCACTCCTACCATCAATTCTATCTGTGATTTGATGTGTATTTCATTGTGCTTTTATTTTCTAGCTGGTCCAGTTCAGATGGTAAAGATGACCCCATTGAACTATCTAAGGACAGTATATTTGTGAAAATCTTACAAAAACTTTTAAAAGATGGTAAGTGTTTTCTTATTAGAATTCATAGCGTTGCTCCTCAGTTTTAGAAACCTTAGACTAATAGGGATTAGCCAAGATGTCAAATGGCAGAGTCGTTTAAGATTCAATAGCATCGTTTATGTAGAGCAAAGCAAGAACTGCTTTCCTCCCTCTGCAATTGGGGAAGCATGTGTCAGTATGAAATCTTTGTCCACCTGCGTCTTCGGGTGACATCCGACTACATCTGCATGGTAATTCAGGATGGACAAGGAACACCAGTCGGGACCCATGGGTTGCGACACTCACAGTCTATAGTGTGTGGAATTTCTCAACTAAGGTTTTTTTGTGAATATTTAAAATTTTTAATACGAAAAACTTTTTGGGGGGGCATATCTCGTAGTAAACTTATTTGTTCTCTTCTGAAGAACAAATTTCAAAATGTTTTTAAAAATCCATTTTAGACATCAGCACTCTGAAATTCATTAAAGGAACAAAACACAAACAAACAAATAGGAAGTATATTTTGTATCTGTTTTGTACCTAAGACTGAGAAAAATTACATTTGTTGGTAAAGACACAGATAGGTAAAGAAACTTTGAGATGAAACTCAGGGAAAAGATCAATTTAAGAAGACTTAACTTTTACCTCCTTTCATACTGCTGTTATAAAGTACTGCCAAGTCAGTTTCAACTCACCGTAACCCTCTATAGGGTTTCTAGGGAACAGCTGGTGAGTTTGAACCACCAACCTTGCAGTCAGTTAGCCATGCAGTAAATTTGATTAACTTACTGAAGATTATTAGATCAAAATATGTGGTGCTAAACTCCAGACAGTGGGCAAAAAAATACATTTCCCAATCTCTAAAGTACAAGGTACTTTTTTAGTGTCTAATTAAAGTAAAATGACAGTGACTAAAAGCTACTACAAATTCAACATTCCTTCTAAATTAATGTGACATTTATTCATCAAGATGACATTAGCATACATTTGAATACTAGAGTGCTAATTAGGAGCTTTGGAGTCCTGGTGTGGCGCTGTGGGTTAGTGCACCAGACTGCAAAGCCTTTTGAACTGCAAGGTCGGCAGTTCAAGCTCAGCAGTCACTCCTCAGAAACCCTATACAGGGTTGCTAGGGGTCGGAACCGACTCAATGGCACTTAACAAAAACAACAACAACAATTAGGAGCTTTGGTAGCATAGTGGTTACGAATTGGACTGCTAACCTCTCAGTTGGCAGCTTGAAACTACCAGTGGTTCCACGGGAGAAAGATGAGGCTTTCTGCTCCCGTAAAGATTTAAAGCCTCAGAAACCATGTACCAGGGTCTCTATGAGTTGGAACCGACTCCACTGCACACCACCACCTCCAATGTGGTATACTGTTGGATAAACACTGGACTGCTAACCCTAAGGTCGGCAGTTCAAACCCACCAATGACTCCTCAGAAACCCTATACAGAGTCACTATAAGTTGGAATCGACTTGATGGCGGTTAACAACAGTATGTATTTTGTTGTTACTATATATGCAACATAAGGAGCTCTGGTAGCGTAGTGGTTACGAATAAGGCTGCAAACCTTAAGGCCAGCAGTTCAAAACTACCGGCCACTCCGCGGGAGAAAGATGAGGCGTTCTGCTTCCGTAAAGAGATACAGCCTTGGAAACCCTGTACAGGGTCGCTATGGGTCTGAACCAACTCGACGGCACTTAACAACAACAACAACATATATGCAACATACATTATTTAATCTCCGTTACACATACCCAACCCACTGCCTGGCACACAGCATTGGCTAAGTAAATACTCTTTGAATGCATAGAATCATTTGCAAATGTACAGTTCCAACCCCTTTGTAATTGAGTCTACCAACTCACCCCCACTGACTGTGTTGCTACAACTCTCCATATAAAATTGATGGCTTACCCAAATGAAATTGAGGGACCCTGGAGAAGTTTTATGGAACTGACCATGCCAACCAATAATCTAAGGTAAAGAAAAGCGAACTCTCTGCGTTTGTGTTCCAGAAGCTTTCTACATGAAGTGTTCTTTTCCAGCTTTTGGGTATGCTACTATAGTGGACCAACTATAAATACAATTCTGTAACTGTTTGACTTGGAATTTGCTTAATCAGCCTGCACTGACATAAAACCAGTTTTAAGTAGCTTTCAGTTTTAAAAATAGTTCAATAAACCTTTTTATTGTCAAAAATAAAAATGTAAAAGAAATGAGGGATACAGCAAAAATATCTTTTATCTGAAAATATATGAAATTTAGAAAGGGCTCACATAGCCACCACTCGTCTGTCAGTTTGCCGTACTGTGGTGGCTTGTGTGATGCTGTGATTCTGGAAGCTATGTCACCGGTATTTTAAATGCCAGCAGGGTCACGCATGGTGGACAGGTTTCAGATGAAGACAGGCTAGGAAGAAGCAGAGGCGAACCACTCTGAATGGAGTAGCCAATGGTGGGACATTATTAGACATAGTGTCTGAAGAAGAGCCCCACAGATTGGAAAGTACTCAAAACACAAGTGGGGAAGACCTGCCTCCTAAAAGTAGACTTGAGCTTAATGACAGGAATGGATCAAAACTTTCTGGGCCTTCATTTGCTAGTGAGGAACGACTCAAAATGACAAGAAACAGCTTCAAACATCCGTTAATAATTGGAATGTGGAATGTATGAAATATGAATCTAGGAAAATTGAAAGTTGTCAAAATGAAATGGAAAAATCCATAGTCTCCGTATTAGTGAACTGAAATAGACTGCTGTTGGCCATTTTGAATCAGACAATTACATGGTTTACTGTCCCAGGAATGGCAAATTGAAGAGGAATGAGATCACTTTCATAGTCAAAAAGCGCATTTCAAGATCTACAGTGCTGTCTGATAGAATAATATCCATATGCCTCTGGAAGACCACTTTTATTCAAATTCACACACTAAAGCCAGTGATAGTGAAATTGAAGCATTCTACCAACTTCTGCAGTCTGAAATTGGTCAAACATGCAGTCAAGATGCATTGGTAATTACTGGTGATTGGAATGCCAACGTTAGGAACAAAGGGGAAGGATTGTGCTTGGAAAAGCATGGCCTTCATGATAGAAACATTGCTGGAGATCACATGATAGAATTTTGAAGTGTAAATACCTTTTTCTACACGAGGACCTCACTTGATGGAATGTACGAAAATCTAATAGACTCCATCTGTGAGAAAAGATCATGGAGAAGCTCAATATCATTAGCCAAAACAAGGCCAGGGGCAGCTGAATGGGCCATTAGTTGTTCAGATGTTAGTTCACAAGAGCTGGATAAAATTAAAACAAGTTCACAAGAGCCAAACTATGAACTTGATATATCCCATCTACATTTAGAGACCATCTCAAGAACAGATTTGATGCATTAGACACTAGTGACTGAAAATCAAAAGGCTTGTGGGATGGCAGCAGGAACATTGTTCATGAAGAAAGCTAAAGGTCATTTAAAAGACAGGAAAAAAATGAAAAGACCAAAATGGGTGTCAGAAAAAACTCTGGAACGTCTTCTTGTGTGTAGAGAAGCAAAAGCAACTGGAATAAATGAGGAAATAAAAGAATTAAACAGAAAAGTTCAAAAAGCCACTCAAGAAGGCAAAGTTAAGTATTACAATGTGATGTGCAAAGACCTGGAGTTAGAAAACTGAAATTTAGAAAGTTACAAGACCGTGCTAAGTATTTCTCAAGCTGAAAGAGCTGAAGAAAAAAAATCGAAGTCTCAGTTGCAGTATTGAAGGATTCTCTGGGTAAACTATTGAATGATGTAGGAAGCAGCAGAAGAACATGGAAGGAATAC